CTCACACCGCAATTTGCTGTTGTTGAGCCTACCAGAGCTCTGAACCCAGAACCCTGGAACCCTGAGCACTTCGCACTTTATGGTTTACAAGGTTTAGGTCGTTTCGGTTTTTGGCCTCGGCGTTCAGGCACCCTACATCGTAAGAGCACTAACGCTTAAACCCAAACCCTAAGCCCCTAAACCCTAAATTCTAAACCCTAAGCCCTAAGCCCTAAACCCTAAACCCTAAACCCTAAACCCTAAACCCTAAACCCTAAAGCCTTAAGCCTTAAGCCTTAAGCCTTAAGCCTTAAGCCTTAAACCCAAACCCCTTGTCTCAGGACAGGGTCGTGGAGATACCTGTGGCTCAGACCGTACAGGTTCCCAAGGCACAAGCTGCACTTGGGGGCCTGGGATTCTGGGGTTGGAGGTTTCGGAGTTTCGGGTTTAGGGTTTAGGGTTAAGGGGAGGGCTTCAAAGTTTGTAATGTAAGAGCTTAGGGGTTTTGAGTTTCATGTGGTTGTGGCTTTCAGGCGGTTGCCTCACTTCATGCAATTTCTTGGTTCCGTAGAACACGTGGCTCTATGTGGTCCCTAACCCTAAGCCCTAAACCCAAAACCCCGAACCCAAAGACTATGGAAAAAAAACATGGTAATCGTGTCTGCAACCAAAGCCCCCCGAACCACCTGCAGCCAACCCGAATCCTCGTGTTTAGCGTAAACTCTACGCCCTAAACCTCGAACTTCCTGAGCCCAATCTGGCCAGGTGATCCGGACCCAGAAGCACGTGGAGGTCGAGCAGATCGTCTACGAGGATGAAGAGGCGAGAGCCGGAGCCCGGGTTTCTATGGGAACTACCACGGAATGCGCACAGGATTTTTTTTAGGCGGGAGTCGAAGGCGATATTAATGGGAGTTTGCGAAAATAGGGAACCCCAAAATAGACCCCAAATAGTAGGATTCCCTTGTGAAAAGGACCCCCAATAAGGTACCCTAATTGCGGAACCACACATATGGCACGGCGCATGATGCAAAAGCCAAGGCGCCTGCAAATTCTGGCCTGAACAGGTGAAAGCACAAAGCAAATTTGCGTCGCGCCGAGACAACCCCCAAAGCCCTTGGCTTCGAGTGCTGCACATGTTGATGATCATAGAATCATATAAGTATATGTATTCATATTAGTATCATTATTATCAGAAGTATCAAACAATAGAACCCTGAACCCTGAAACCCATAAACCCTGAAACCCTTAAACCCTCAACTTCTTAACCCTGAAGCCCAGAAACCCTCTCTTCGTGGGGGTTCACGAGGGGCCAGGGCTCGAAACTGAGGCCTGGGGTTTGTGGGTTGAGGGTTCAGGGCTTCGGGTTTAAGTTTTGAAGGGTTTAGAGGTTTGGGGTTTCGGATTTTGGGGTTTGGGTTTCTAGGTTCAGGGTTCTAGCCTCAGGCAATGACATCTCACAACCCACACTGGCACGCAGGTGAAGGTACCTGTGCAGAAGCTACGGCCTGTGCCGGTGCAGGCCTCACTGGGTACCCGAAACGTAAGGGTTTAGGGTTTAGCGTTCAGGGTTTAGGGGCCGCATTTGTTGGCGTGCTTGTCGCTATTTCTAACGTACCAAGGCTCAGCGTGGCCTACAGCCTACATATGGGTGGCTGTCAAAATGATGATCCCTTTTGGGGTACCCTAGATACTAGGTGCCGTATTATAATCGGAAACCCTGAACCCTAAACCCTAACCCTAAACCCTAAACCCTAAACCCTAAACCCTAAACCCTAAACCCTAAACCCTAAACCCTAAACCCTAAACCCTAAACCCTAAACCTTAAACCTAATGTTGACAACCACCCCTATTGTAGGGCTCAGCTAAGCAGCCATGAGTTCCGAAAGGGAGACCCTTGATCTGCCGTTTGGGGGGAGGTTAGGCTGTGAAGGCTTTATGTTGGTTTTGGGTTTAGGGGTTTAGGGGTTAGGGGTCAGGGCTACTTGGAGTCGTTCTAAGCCGGGTTATAAGTACGCGCATAAGATTGCAAGCAGTTAAACCTATAGTGTGCAGCCCCACTCATTAGCTACCCACGGACCTTCAAGTAGGGTTCGGCGAAGCTCTGTGGACTTAAGAGGTCTGATGCCCTCTAAGTTGGCAAGACACCCTTGAGCCCTTTGCGCTGAGCCCCTAGACCCTAAACCCCAAGCCCTAAAGCCTAAACCCTAAAGCCTAGACCCTAAACCCCAAGCCCTAAACCCTAAACCCCAAACCCTAAACCCCGAACCCCAAAACCCTAAACACCGACCCCAAAAGCCTGCGCCGCCAGTCGAAGCAGACGCGGCGCGTCGAGGTGCCAGCGGCTTAGGTGCCGGAGTGGGAAGATTCGTGGGTCCAGGGCTTCTTCTGGGGTTCAGGTTTTAGGGTTTAGGGTTAAAGCTTGTGGGTCCAGGGCTTCTTCTAGGGTTCAGGTTTTGGGGTTTAGGGGTTAGGGTTAAAGCTTCATTGATCCATGGGCATCCCGTGGGGTTCATGGGTAGGCAGAAGTACAGTAGATGGGTAAATGTTTTGTTTTATGTGCACAGCATGTCTTTGCGTTTTGCAATATTTGTATGCTGATAATATGATGTATCATTATCATTCTTGTATATGTCCTCAAAATAAATTACATTGGCTTTCAACCCGCCGCCATGTGATCATGCTTTTAATGCTGTCGTAACTGACAAAACTCAGCTCATCATTTTTTTACATGTATGTATTTATGTAACATGCCATATGACCTTCCACATCTTTTTTTCTCACCCGAAACTTGGGATGTTTCCCCGTATACTAGCAGTCCTTAATTGGGATTATACTAGGTGAGACTATAATCCCTATTAAGGACCGTAAGTATCAGGGTGAGCATCCAAACTTATAGTGTCCCTAACCCTAAAAACCTTGACTATATTTCCCCCCCAATTACAGTCCATATGAAGGACTGTTAGTATAAGGGGGAACATCCCAATCCTAAACCTATACGGGGGATAGGCTTATAAGCCTATCCCCCGTATACTCACAGTCCTTAAGAGGGATTCTACTAGGTACTATAAAACCCTAAACCCTAAACCCTAAAAAACCCATGTAAGGACTGTTTGTAGAAGGGGGAAACGTCCCAACTCCCGACACCCTAAACCCTACACCCCAAACCCTAAACCCTACCCCCTAACCCCTAAACCCTAAACCCTAAACCCTAAACCCTAAACCCTAAACCCTAAACCCTAAACCCTAAACCCTAAACCCTAAACCCTAAACCCTAAACCCTAAACCCAGGCCTTGCATCCAGTTCGTCGACCGCGTCGTGGATGTGCAGATCCCGGCCCCTTGGGTGCAGCGGTTTAGGGTTTAGGGGTTTAGGGTTTAGGGTTTAGGGTTTAGGGTTTAGGGTTTAGGGTTTAGGGTTTAGGGTTTAGGTTTGCGAAAATGGGGGACCCCAAAAACAGACCCCCCCCCCCCCCCAAAAAAAAAAAAAAGTAGGATGCCTTTTCATAAGGACCCCGTCAATTACCCAAGAAAGGGGTTTCCGAAATTACCTTGTTGGGGTCCGTATTTATGAGGGAGTCCGACTATTTTGGGGTCGAGATTAGGCGTCCCATCTTCGCAAACCCCCCCAAACGTCAGGGTTTAGGGCCCAGGATCGAGGGCTGAGGGTTAAACCCTAAACCCTAAACCCTAAACCCTAAACCCTAAACCCTAAACCCTAAACCCTAAACCCTAAACCCTAAACCCTAAACCCTAAACCCTAAACCCTAAACCCTAAACCCTAAACCCTAAACCCTAAACCCTAAACCCTAAACCCTAAACCCTAAACCCTAAACCCTAAACCCTAACCCTAAACCCTAAACCCTAAGGTGTAGGGCCCCCTGGTTCGAGGGGTCGACGGTTTGGGGTTTTGGGGTTGGGTTGCGGGGTGTGGGGTCGCGGGTTTAGGGTTTAAGTGTTGCAGGTCTTCTTGTCTTCGTAAAGCCTGAAGCGACTTCGAGCAGGGCTGGGGGGTGGAGGGTTTGGAGTCTTTACTTATGTCTGCCGAAAGGCTGCGGGCTGTTCCTACTTGATGGTTCGTGGGTAGCTGTGGGTAGTGTAGCAAGTGCCTGAACCAGGTTTCGATCGTACGTCTCACCGCGGCTACTACCCATGAGCCTCCAAGTAGGCTACTGTACCCTAAACCCTAAACCCTAAACCCTAATCATGATCATGATCTTCTTGCCCTTTGTTTTGGGCTTGAAGCCAAGCAGCGAATCTCAGTGCTACAAGCACGTAAGTCCCGAAACCCCTTCGCCCCCTAAACGAAAACCTTTCTAAACCCTTTGGCCGAGGTACAGCGCATGGTCCCGCAGGTGCAGAAAGTGCAGAAGAAGGCTTCTTTGCCTCTGGGGGTTTATAGGACTTTTGCGCTTTTGGGCTTTTGAATCTGTTATTTGTACTTTGCGAGAGGGGGGGGGGGGAGGTCCCTACAGCTGCCCCAGAACCCGAATACCACACAGACACTCCAAGCCAGGGTTTGGGATCCCTGGGACGGTTTTTGGGGAATTGGGGAGGCACGGGTTCCCTAAACCCTAAACCCTCAACCCTGAACCCTAAACCCTCAACCCTAAGCCCTAAACCCTAAATCCTGTTCCCAGATTCAGATCCAGGGGTTGGGGGTTCTTTGGGCTCAGGGCTCGGGATGGTCGTTTTGGTTTTCGGTCTGGGGGCGTTGTGGGGGGTTTAATATAGGGGCCTTAATAGCTAGAATAGGGTTATTCCAGTTATTCCAGAAAAGAATAAAAGCGGCCAGAAGCGAACACTATTAGCAGTTATTCCGACCACTATATTAGGGTTGTTAGGTCTTAGATGAGGGCCTTGGTGGGTTAGGGTGTAGAGTCTTTGGGTTCACAGAAGGCCAGCTCCTTCAGTACGGCCATTGGTGTAAGGTGGAGCAAAGCAGTAAACTGCTTCTTGCTGCGAGCCATCAAAGCAATAAGGTATAGTGCGGGCAGAGCGCTTTTCGTGTGGCAAGAAGCCATGAATGTGGAGCGACCTCGGGATGTGGTGGAGTGGTTCGAGTCAGTTCCTCACCTGCTCTCGCAGCAGGAGTGGGAGGTGTGCGAGCGCGTGGGGCAGTCAAGCCTGTCCCACTGCCGCTGCCCTTGGGGGGGTCACTTGCTGAGGCTTGCGCTGAGTGGGATTCAGGTGCAGGACGCCGACACCAAAAGTCTGCTGCTTAGACCGGAGACCAGGGCAAAGCACGAACCCCAGTTGCCGCTTGGAGGGCGCATGGAGCTGATTGAGCAGCTGGCGCCAGGTGGGGGTTTGCGAAAGCAAGGGACCCCTCATATAGACCCCAAGAGGTAGGAGTCCCCTTAAAGTAAAGACCCCCCCCACCCTAAGCCCTAAACCCTAAACCCTAAACCCTAAACCCTATTTCGGAAACCGGCCCCAGGTGATGCACTTGTGAGGCAGCCTGCCTCTTGGGGCCTCTTGCAGCTCTGCAGCTTGGTCTTTGGGAACGCTGGTGCCTTTGTCATCGTTGGGTAAGATTTTTTTTATTTTTTACGGGTTTTTTATTCAAACCCAATAAGGACTGTAAGAGTTCATATTTTTTACGGTTTTTTTTTCAAACCCAAGAAGGAATAGACATGTAGATTTTTGATTTTATCTCAGCCATGAACTAGGTGCCGTGGACATCGGCATGCCAGAGCTCGCTGCACCGATCATTAGCCGGCAGCGGCTTTACCGTGCCTGGCCAACGAAGGAAGACACCACGCTCATGTTCTCTAGAGATGAGGCTGATCCTGCCGATGCTCTACTGATCTGCCGCCCACAAGGAGCCGAGCACGTCGGGCTTTTCGGCATTTTCACGGTCTCCGCAGACAAGTTTGACCAGTGGATGTCAACTCATCATGCCTTGTTGCTTGAGTGTGCCATGTTGACAGCGACGCGGTTCTTGAACCGCCCGGGGATTGCAGAGTTGCGCACCTTGAACGCCAACATGTACACTGTCCTGAGCGTCCACAGCTGCAAGCGGGGCCCCCCGCTACTGCCTCTGAAGCCTGGATCCACTCAGAGAGCTTGTGTCACCATCAAGAAAGATGCTGGAAGTCAGCTTGACGCTTGGGTCCGCATGGGCACGGAGGACAGGTTTCGTTTGGCCAACTTTGTCAATCAGTTCGCAGAGAATCTGGGTTTGAACTTGAAGGCATACAGTACCCTGGATGGCCAGAGGTTAGTTCATTACCAGTGTGCGGTGAGGCGGGAGGAGTGGGAACGTGTCGGTGAGCAGTTTCAGGAAGCATTCCTTGTGCAGAAGCGAGCCTATCGCCGTGCCAATGGTGGATCCAGTGCTCCCTGTCTTGCAGCCGATGGCGAGCCACGCTTTGTTCCCGATGAGAGGCGTGAAGAGCTGTGCAATCAGATCCTTGGTAGCCCAGTGGTAGCCTTTACCTTTTTTTTTTTGGTTCTGGGTTCCTTGTAACATAAGCCAGCCACAAAAGGGTGCCCTTATTGTAATATGGTTGCTTGGCTACCAAGGATCAGATACCAGCAGAACAAGCCAGCGCAGCACAAGACGGTGGTGCGACGCACCTTCATCGAGGTCACCAGCGACGACGACAGCACCGAGGAAGAGGTGGTGCTTGTTCGGGAGAGGTCCAGCCGACGGGCCAAAACTTCACCATCTCGTAGACCTACATCCTCCGACTCTGATGAGTACCTGTAGATATATGGGTTTCCTCAAATAGGGGCAACCCCTAACCCACCCCAGAATCACAGAATCCTGTTTCTAGGTGCGCACCCTGACTTTTGGAAACCTCAATATCGGTAGCACTTCGCGTGCGCAATTCGCTTCCCCATTTTCGCGAAGCCACATGTAAAGTTGCTCACAGGCCACGCAGCAGAATTCGTCATGAAAACAGGACTGTCCGACAAAACGGTCGGATTGCTGCCTCGACGTGCATGATAAACTCGGCCGGCACTCTGGCGTTGTACAGGTCGCCACTTGTGACGGCCACCGGCAGCTCCCAGCCGCTGCAGTTGTACAACACGACTGGTTGACCTCGGGGTTGAATTTGCTCCGACCCTAAACCCACAAAATTCCTACCAAGCCCTAAGCCCGATAAGCCCCCTAGACCCCTAAAAAGACAAAAGAAGGCGGAGAGACTGGAGTCGTAGATGCCTGGCTCTCCATTTCGCCAAGCTTCGCTGGTGATCGGCTGACTCAGCATTAGTTGCTGCAGTCATTACCGCGATCAGTGCGATGAAAGCGCGCCTTTTGCCTTTGGTGGCTTGGAGGGTTTAGGATGAACAGGTTGTGGCAGGGTCTGACGGGTTAGACCCTAGGCCCCACGCCCTAAACCTAACCCTGACACCGACAGCCTGGAACCTGAAGGGCGAACTTCCGGTTAGGTTAGGTTTTAGGGTTTAGGGTTTAGGGTTTAGGGTTTAGGGTTTGGGGTTTAGGGTTTAGGGTTTAGGGTTTACGGTTATGGACCAAGGGTTCGGGGATTGCCAGGCATAGTCCCGTTCAGGATGCCTAAACCCTACAGTAAACCCTAAACCCTAAGCCCTAAACCCTAAAAGCCCTAAACTTCGACAAACAACAATGACCCTAGCCCCCTAAACCCTGAACCCCCCCAAAACAAAACTCCAGGCTCTTCACCCTGAGATCCCAAACGTCTAAACCCTTCACGTTAAAAAGCCATACTAAACGCAGATGCAACCGACCCCACGACCCAGGGAGCTAAAGCCCTAGACCCTAAGCCCTCAACCCTAAACACGAAACACTAAACCCTAAACCCTAAACCCTAGACCCTAAGCCCTAAACCCTATAAACCCTAAATCATACCCTGCGGAGGTGGAAGTGCCGCAGGTTCGGGTTGTCAGGCCATGGTCGCGGCTGTGGTGTTGCCGATTTAGGCTGTGTGGGGTTGAGGTTTCAGGGTTTAGGGTTTCGGGTTTAGGGTTTAGGGTTCAGGGTTTGGGTTTCGAGTTTAAGGTTCAGGATTCGCTGGCTTAGGGTTTAGGGTTCAGGGTTGAGGTTTTAGGGTTCAGGATTCGCTAGTTTAGGGTTTAGGGTTATAGGGCTTAGGGGTTTGGGGGCACAGAGTTCATGAAATTTCCGGTTTAGTGGACAAGGGTTTTTGGCTTGGGATTCAGGCTTTCTGGTAGGGCTCGGTTCAGGGGGTCTTGTTCAACCAGGGTTTTGGGTTAGGGAGATCTTAGTTGTGCTTAATCGGTTGGAAGTAGATGTAGACATGGTGTTGGGCTGTTTGCCTCCGTTCGTTGTGGAGCGAGGTATGCGCCTTAATGAGAACAAGATTGCCTATGCTGACCTCCATAAAACAGGTTCCATTGAGGCCAATTGTGCACGAGACCGCTTGCTTCTTAGAAAGCAGAAGAGTGTTGCTGTCCCACGTGGAGCGAGGTCAGGGGCCGCGACCCATGAAACAAATAGAAGCCGCTGCTCAACTGCATGAGTTCCTAATGTTCTTCTTATAGCACCCTAAACCCGAAACTCTAAACCTTAAACCCTAAACCTTTAACCCTGAACCTTAAACCCTATACACCCTAACCCAAGAAGGGGGCTACACTTGGGCCTATGCAGCCTACTTGTGTACTTCCCCAAAAAGAAACAGCGAAGCATGCTCGGGGCGGGCAGGAAAGAGGTTGAGGTTCCCGTCATCAAGCACGTCGACGCAGAGGAGGAGGGGCCCCGCTGTTGTGGACCCCGAACCCTAAAGCCTAAACCCTAAAGCCTAAACCCTAAACCCTAAACCCTGAAGGCTAAACCCTGAACCCTGAACCCTGAACCCTAAACCCTAAACCCTAAACCCTAAACCCCCTGTGCGGTGTGGGGTTCAGAGTTGACTTACTGCTTCTTCGTGAGTAGGTGGGGAAGGCAGGTGCCCTTGTACACCCCGACTTGAAGTCTTCAAGGGGGCTCTATAGGGTACCCCCCCTCCTCCCATAGAACTGCAGGGTTTAGGGTTTCAGGCTGCCGAATTCCCTACTAAGAACCGGTAAGGATTAGGGCTTGGGGTGCAGGTTTCAGGGCTTAGGCTTAGGGAGTAGAATTCGGGTTCCGGCCGATGCGAACTTGACAGCACAAAACTCTAAGCCCTAAACCTAAACCTAAACCGGTGGACGTCAGAAACCCTAAACCCTCCGAAACCCGGGGTGACCTCGAGCCGTCTGTCGAGGTCATCCACGTGGAGAAGAAGGTGGAGGCCAGCAGATTGCGGGGAGTTGCGGGGAGGAGGACCCTGAACCCTTAGCCCGAAACCCCAAACCCTAAACACTAAACCCTAAGCCCGAGATTCAGAAACTTAGGGAAAAGTTCTCCCGAAGCAAAATCCCGAAACCGCGAGACGACCCTGACGCAGATGCTAGTCTCGCATTGCGGTTAACATATGGGGCCTTCTGAGGGTTTAGGGTGTAGCTTGTATGGAGTGCAAGGGGGGTGAGCCTCGGTATCCCTGAACGCTGAGCCCGAAACCTTGTACTACCTTTTGCGCTGTTGGCAGTGGTTTGGGCTCTCGCCGTGCGCTGAACCCGACTCCCTTTTGCAATCGGCTATAACCAACATGGAGAGGCTAGGGCTCATGGGTGTTCACGTCTAGAACTCAAACTGAGGTCCTCTCGAAGCCCCAATCAAGAGGCTGGAAGTAGCCTGTCTACATGTGCAATACCTCGAGGGATTAAGACTCGTACCCCTGAGGTTGTACCCCGAAAGGTTCCCCTGCATATAGTCCTAATGTGGCCCTCATATTCAGGATCTTGTTCAAAAGGGTCCCAAGGTACAACCCCTAAGTGTTTATTGGGGTGGTAGCATGCTGCCTAAAGCAAGCCAGCGCTTGGGAGGTTCATGTGTAGTTAGAAGTAGGGGCATAGGTAGTATAGCTATAGGTGCAACTCTCTTGAGGATTCTTAGAACCCTGCTTCTAGCTACTCCTGAGCCTCCAAGTCATACCGGGCAAAAGGCGAACTTGAGAACTTGAATCCGGAGACAACCCCGCCCAGGTACCTCAAGTTCAGGTGGTCGAGAAAGTGGTTGAGCCGGGGTCCAGAAGTGGCGAGAGCAGGGCTATGGTTGTCACTTTGCAGGTGTCGTGGTTTCGGGGGCATCGGGCCTGGCTTGTAAGGGCCTTGTAGGGCTTCGAACTTGTTAGGGGTGACTTGCAAAGCCAAAGTTTTGAGGCTGTTCGGTTGTCTGCTTACTTTGACAGGCAGTCCTTGTCCAATGCTCGTCGTCTTTAAACCCTAAACCCTAAACCCTAAACCCTAAACCCTAAACCCTAAACCCTAAACCGTGTTTGCGGCCTTCTGGGCTAAGAGTTTCTGGTTTGGGGTTTGGTCGTGCGACTATAGAGTTGCCTGCACCGTTTCAGGGTGGAACTTAGGCCGCACGTTCCTGAAGCTTACGTTCATGCGATAACTATTTGCTGAAGAACCCCCCCCCCCCCCCCCAAAAAAAAAAAAAAAACAAATGACATGAAACTTCCCTGTAAGGGTAAAATAGGGAGTATTGTCTTGTTTTTTGGGGGTATCTTCAGCTATAATAGTAGTTTTGGGCTTAGGATTTCGGAGCCTTTTAAAGTTGCTGTAGCTCATACTCGCGGCCTGTTGAGGCTTTAGAGTTTAGGATTTAGGGTTTAGACGAACATGCTGCAGTCTTCCTTACGCCTTGAACCCGGAGGAACACACCCTCAGCGAAGAGAAGTGTGTGTTCCTGTCATCCCAACCCCCCCCCCCCCCCCCCCCCGGACACAATCCGACACAAAAACAAAGTTTAGGGTTTAGGGTGTAGGGTTTACGGTTCAGGGTGTAGAGTTTAGGGTTTAGGGTTTAGGGTTTAGGTGGGAACCAGGAACTCGAAGCCCTCACCCCAAGCCCGAATCCCCAAACCCCTCAACCCCTCAACCCCTACTAAACCCTCAACCCTCAACCCCAAAATGGGACCCATAACTTACAGAACGCCACACCTGTCCAAGGGCGCTTGGGTTGTATAGGGTACCCTAAACCCTAAACCCTAAACCCTAAACCCTAAACCCTAAACCCTAAACCCTAAACCCTGAGGGGCCCTAAACCCTAAACCCTAAACCCCAAGATCCAAGCTGCTTAGGGTGCCTCAGATGGAGTCGGTGGAGGGGCGCGACCTCATTGTCCCCCTTGCGCGCTTTCTGTTTTGGGGTTTGGGGTTTGGGGTTTAGGGTTTAGGGTTTGGGGTCTAGGGTTTAGGGTTTGAGGTTTAGGGTTTAGGCTTTGGGGTTTAGGGTTTGGTGTTTGGGGTTTGGGTTTAGGGTTTGGGGTTTAGGGTTCTCATAGCACCGAGGGCAACCGTGGGCAACTGAAAGCAGCTGCAATAAGGACTAAACCGCAGGCCGAAAGCACGGACCATCGCCCTCGAAATGGTTGAATCCGGGGAGTGGTGCTGAGCTCTAAATTCTGGGTTTCCCTTTTGGGGGGTTGAGGTCTAGGGCCCTAAACCCCCTCGCCCCTCTTGAATCTAAACCTTTTTGGACCTCTGAGGCTCCCATCCCAGAAGCCCGGAAGCCCCTACACATCCGCAAGAACAAGAGCAAGCCCAGGGGTCTAGGGCTTCCCCGCCTTTGAGGTGCTTTTTTTTGGGGGGTGTTTGGGGGCTTAGGGCTTAGTTTCAAACCCCAACTTTACAGCCGAAACCCCAAACCCTATACCCTATAAACCCTAAACCGCAACTTAGGGTTCAGGGCTTCCATTCGGCAGGAGTACATCCGCCTCCCTCCAGAGCGGCGCCAGGCAGACGACCAAGTTGTTCGTGAGGTGTTGTGTGTTTGGGGTTTAGGGTTTAGGGTGCGGGGTTTAGGGTTTAGGGATGCGAGCAATACAGAGTCCATGGTTGGCGCTTGGTTTAAAACCCTAAGCCCCAAACCCTAGACCCTAAACCCCAAACCCTAGACCCCTCCCTACAGAAGCCCTCTTGCCAGAATGAAGCTCTTCCGGAAACGCGATGGGTTTGGGATCGTCGATGTAGAGTTTTCCGGAAATCGGTGGTTTTGTTGGAGCCTAGGGCTCAGGGTTCAGGGCCAAGTTCGGGGCTTGCGTATTCGGGCATATAGGGTTTAGGTTTTTGTGTCGGGGAAGGTGGGCAACCCGGGTGGCACCTTCGTAATCTATTCGGAGGGTTCGGTTCTCTTATGGGTTTGTTTCAGCCCTTTACGCAAAGAAGAGCTTGCTGTTTTCATCGTATTCCTAGTTTTCTGGGACCCTGCAATCCCGAACCCCTAAACCCTAAACGGGTATACAGTAAATTCCACAAAAAGGTTGGACCGCTGATCCCCCTACCCCAAGAGGTATACCAAAGGGAATCCCTTGTCGCAGCAGCGTGAGGCTCCCTAAACCCTAAACCCTAAACCCTAAACCCTAAACCCTAAACCCTAAACCCTAAACCCTAAACCCTAAACCCTAAACCCAGTAGAGTAGATGAATTTGTTCACCTAAGAAAGCCGAAGCCCGAGCTTTGGAGCGGCCAAGCTTTTGGGAGCAGCAGAAGCCTGAGGAAGCCTTGCCGGTCCCGGCGCCTGTGTTGAACCCAAAGAGCCCAATACCCCTTTTCAGAAGGAGTATGCCTTAAAGTCATATTAAGGATCCCTTTATCACTTAAGGTATGTTCCTTAGTTAAGGGGTATTGGGCTCTCCGGGAATGCTGCGGCGCGACAGCGCCTTCGAAGGGTTTGCGACAGGAAAGCAGATGGTTCTCTCCAAGTCCCCGAATCCATCCATCAGGCGTGGAAAGAAGGAGGACAGAGCCGGGAGCGACTGCTCAAAGTTTTCGTGAGCCAGAACTTCGACAAAGTCACGTTTGTGCGAGAAGGGCAGCATGAAACACGGCAGAGTAAGGAGATGCGGGTCAACATCACCGGAGATTTTTTTCACCGAAGAAGAAATGCGAGACACCTTGGAGCCAGCTCAAATAGTCCTCAGACCATCTTCCAACTTTCTGGAGTTTTCTGTAGGGTGTTCCGAATGTGAAATGCTGGGGACTTGTGGGCAAGGCTGCACGCGAGTTCGAGGCTGTGGAGGAGGCTCGGATGTGGGGGGGGGCGGGGGGGATTGCTTGGGTTCGATGGGTTTAGGGTTTAGGGTTTAGGGTTTAGGTTTAAGAACTTAGGGGTCTCTGTCAGAGTTTGTCGTCCAGATTACCCACAGCCCATGAGTTGACCTGGCCCCTCCCCCCCCCCCCCCAAACTGCCCTTTAAGAACAAATCTGAAGGGAAACCTACTATTTCTGAACAAGGGATTCGGGAAATCGATACCTTCTAAACCCGTACAACCCTTTAAAGGAGTATGCGCTTTGCCTGGGACCCCCCCACCCCCCCGAATTTCTTAGTCAGAGCCGAAAATCAGGGCTCAGGAACACCATCAGTTTTCTCTTTGCAGTACTGTTAGCCCCAGCTTCAACGTCAGGTTTCATGCTTCTGGAGGTGGAACTAAACCCTAATTACAAAACCGGAAACTAGAGAGAGAGTACCCTGAGCTATTCTAGACCAGGGTGGCCGCTATTTTGTTTAGGCTGCTGTGGTTTGGGAGCGGTTCCTTTTCTACGGGGGTTTTAGGGTTCGGGGTTCAGGGTTCAGGGTTTCTGCTGTTCAAGATGCGAGATGAGGTTCTAAATCAAGGGGGGGCTAGTGTTTAGGCTTTAAGTAGGATTTTGGGTTTAGAGTCTAGGGTTTGGGGTTTAGCGTCTATAGGGTTTTGGGCCTGAACGTAGAGAAGAATTCCAGAAAGGGAACGCGTGGCCATGGCCCCTGCAGCCAGTAAGAAGTGGCCTCGGGCATTTTGCGGATCGAAGATCTCATACCTGACAATCACCTACATCCGCTTAGCAACCCTAAGCCCTGCGCTCTAAACCCTAAACCCTAAGCCCTAAACCCTAAACCCTGAAAAGGTGGGAGAAGAGCTGCCTTTGGAAATCGCGGAGCCGACGGTGGAGCAGCGCGGGGAGTGGATTCACGACCCTGGCCTGCATCGAAAAACCCCTACCAGGGGTTTAGGGTTTAGGGTTTAGGTTTTAGGTTTTAGGGTTTAGGTTTTAGGGTTTAGGATTTTGGGTTTAGGGTTACAGGTGTTCTGGCGTGTGCATTACACCCCTTAAGCCTACACCTTAAAACCCAGCCGTCCAAAGCCTTAAAGCCCTCGTGTAGCCTTGATGCAGGGAAAAACCGTCAACAACCCGAAGTCCCTCCCCCCCGAGGACCTGGCGGATCATGCACATAGGAGGTGACCTGCTATTTCGTACTATATGATTAGTGGCAACCCCAAACCCGAAAACCCACTGGGTACAAGCAAACGAAACAAGACTGCATACCTTGGTACCTTGGTAGCCCAGTGGTACCCCTTTTGCCCTTTTATTGGTTCTGGGTTCCCTTATAGAGTAACCGGCCCACAACAAAAGTGTGCCCTTGATACAAGATGGTTACGGGGCCACCAAGACGCAAGCACGTTGCGGGTGCAGCAACGGGCTACACCCCTGTCCGCTCATTTAGTCAACTTGCCCAGAAACCCAAAACCCTGAAACCCTAAACCTAGCCTAGCCCCAAACCGTAGCACATCAAAATCGGGATGGTGTCCAACACCTACCTGCTCTAGTACCCCAAACCTTGAGAACCCTCAAACCCGAATCGCTCGGGAGATCTGAGGTTGAGCAGAAAGCCGTGGGCCCAAGGAAGGTTTAGGGCTTGGGGTTCAGGGTTCGGGGTTTAGGGTTTAGGGTTTAGGGTTCAGGGTTTAGGGTTCAGGGTTCAGGGTTCAGGGTTTAGGGTTTAGGGTTTAGGGTTTACGGTTTCGGGTTAAGTAGGGTCGAGGGGTTCAGGGGGGTTGCTACCTACGTTTTGTTGGTGGGGGGCTGGGGTTCAGGCGAGTGTATAGGAAGGATCTGGGTTTTCTCGTAGGTTTCTGGGTTGGAATGTAGGGGCTTGGGTGGGGGTTTGGAGTTCGAGGGTGGGTTTGGGGTTCAGGGTTCAGGGTTCAGTCTGGGGTTTGAGGGCTTTCGGGTTCGCGGTGGCTTGGGGATGTAGGCTTAACTCAGTTTAGAGCGGAGGGAATTGGATTTTGGGGCTAAGGCTTTAGGCTTTAGGACTTTAGGGTTTAGGGTTGGGCATTTTGGGACCCTAAACCCTAAAGCCGAAACCCTAAACCCTAAACCCTAAACCCTAAACCCTAAACCCTAAACCCTAAACCCTAAACCCTAAACCCTAAACCCTAAACCCTAAACCCTAAACCCACTGGAGCCCCAAAACCTCAGCACTTTCAGGTAGCTGGGATGCCTCCCTCAGCGATGTCAACGCCGGAGGCACCCAAGCAGTTAGTTGAGGTTCAGGGTTTAGGGTTTAGGGTTTAGGGTTTAGGGTTTGGGGTTTAGGGTTTAGGGTTTGGGGTTTGGGGTTCGGGGTTTGGGGTTCGGGGTTTGGGGTTTGGGGTTTAGGGTTTCGTGCTCATAGAGATACTCAGTGTACTTAAGGGTTTAAAGGGGTTTAGGGGCTTCATGAGGGAGCAGAGTAGAGCGCAGGGTTCAAGCCTCCCGAAAAGCTCGCATGCTAAACCTCTTAGTATCTTCAAGCTGTATATACGATATTCGCAGCTCCGTCCCCCAACGTCCTACCTGTATATAACCCCTTATTTAGCTACAGCGTTGTAGTAATGTAGTAATTACTCTTCCATCAATAGATCTAGCCCAGAAGCAGCTGGAGGACAATACATTCCGCGGTGCTGTCCAAGCATTAGACCCTAAGCCCTATGCCGCAAACCACCCTCAGCTCTATAAGCGTTTAACCCCCCTCCCCCCCCAAAAAAAAAAACGCATCTTCTTCAGGCCGCCAGCGCCTTCATGCCACAAAGCGCGCCAGCCCTGGCGACCCCCGCTGCGTGGGCCCCTGGATTTAGGATGGCTGGTCCTTCAGACATACTCAGTACATATACATATCTATATACAAACATACCTTATCCATGGATGCGTATTTTTCCCGACCGACCAGGAAGATAGAAAGTATAAAGAGAGAGAGAGAGAGGTCTGGCACAATACAATGACATGCTGAGTCATGCCAGAGTTGGGGCGGGGGGAGTCGTGACATAAAGAATTTTCATACCTTAAGATATCATTGTATCAAGTAAGGTAATCTGGTGTAATAATTTGTGAAAAAAAGGCAAACACGCTAAAGTACGTAGATGGATAGACAGATCTACACATACCAAAAGGGCTCAGGGTTCCCAACGCATGACTTTAGGACAGGCCCTATAACTTTGCAGAGCAGCGACCTGAACCGTAACCCTAAACTCCCCAAAAAGATAGCCCTCGTCTTCAGACCCGCCCGGCCCTTTCGCAAGCCCCCAAACTCCCTACAAAAAGGTCAAAACCCGAAGCCTTGACGCAAGCTGGAAAGTAAAAAGCTCCAAACCCCCACCCTATAAGCCACAAGGCTCATGTCCAGCCCTAGCCCCGAAGCCGTAACCCAAAACCCTAAATCCACTCAAATAGCACCTTCTTGGCCGAGTCTCTGGCCTCCGGCCCCTTCGGCGCCCTTCCTGCCACGACCTCCGGGTTCATGCAGGCCACGGTAGGGTTTAAGGCGTAGGTTGGATTTGTACATACATGTATGTGTATACGTATGCGTATGTGTATGTATAAATAGATATATAGATATACATATATATATATAGACATACATATAAACACATACATATATACATGCACATATATATATACATCCATACATACATGTACATGTATACATGTGCATGCATGCATGCATGCATGCATACATGAATACATGCGTAAATACATGCGTAAATACATGCGTAAATACATGCGTACATGCATACATGCGTACATGCGTACATGCATACACACACATAAATACGTACATACATACACATACATAAATGAACAAATATATATATATATATATATATATATATATTCATACAGATTCATATTTACATATACACAAGTATACATGTATGTTTTCCGCCCTGACCCGGCGCGCCTGGTTTGGTTTTCTTTGGTTTTGGTTATGGGGACTCCACGGTGTTCGGACCCCGGTCCTTGTCAGTCAGCCGCAGGCTTTCCTGTGACCACAGGGCCTTCAGCTGGTTCGGATTGAGGGTTGAGGGTTTAGGTTTGGGTGAAAGAGCTTCCAAACAAGGAGGCATGATGTTGGAAGGCCGAAGACTAGGAGCCTTGAGAGTTTGAGTTGGCGGTCTTCGGGTGGGTTCTTATAGGGCAACTAAAATTATACTTGGTTATCACCTTATTTAGGGTACTTATGACCCTACCTACAAAACTACCCATGACGAAGCTCCCTTCCGCTGGCCGCGGGCTAGACCCGAAATCCTATGTACCCCTGGATAGGGTTCAGGTTTAGGGTTTAGGGTTATAAGCCGCATTGCCTCCAAGCCCTATACTAAACGCCTTATAAACCCTAATACACACCTTATGAGCCCCAAAAGCTCTGAAAGACCCACCCCTTCCGAAGGGATCGCCCAGTGCTTGCGGCGCTTCGCCCTGCGGTGCTTCGTCCTGCGGGGTTGCCGGGGTCGGGGCCCCTGAGCAGGGAACTAGGGTTTAGGGTTTATAGGGTTTAGGGTTTTAAGGGTTGATAGGGCTTTAAGGGTTTAAACGGGTTCAATGGCTTCAAAGGGTTTAAAGGGTTTGTAGGGTTTATAGGGTTCATAGGGTTTATACGGTTCAGGGTTTAGGGTAGGGGGTTTTTGGGGTTTATGGTTGAGATGGTTATAGGGTTTATAGTTTAGGGTTTATAGGATTTGAAACGTTTATAGGGTTTGTAGGGTGTATAGGGTTTAGAGGGTTTGTAGTGTTCATGGGGTTTAGGGCTTTCAGTGTTTTAGGGTTTGCAGGATTTCGAGAGTCGGACTTCAAGAGAAGGGGACGGTGGGTACTCAGGGTTCATAGGTAAAGGGGCGATTCCGAAGCAAGAGGCTTCACGCAAAGTCTTTGCTGGGGCGACCGTTCTTGACTCATTGACCGGTTGTGCTGATGGAGGTCAACTAGGGTTTAGGGTTTAGGGTTTAGGGTTTAGGGTTTAGGGTTTGAGCTCCACCCTTCAGCAGAAAAGGGGTTCTCGGGTACACCCTGAACCCTAGATCCCCAAACCCTAAACCCTAAACTCTCAACCTCCAAACCCTAAACCCATCAGATCCTATCTAGGGTTTAGGGTTTTGGGTTTTGGGTTTAGGGTTTAGGGTTTAGGGTCTGAGAGCATCCCGCCTTCAAGCTGCACCAGGAGCTTGCAGCCCATGGGGCCTGGGTTTAGGGTTGAGGGTGTAGGGTGTAGGGTTTAGGATTTATGTTTAGGGTTTAGGGTTTAGGGTTTAGGGTGTACTCCTGTCTTCACAGGAAACCTCGGATCTTCCTTTCAGGTTTTCGGGTTTAGGGTTTTAAAGTGTAGTTTAAACTAGAGTAACCTACAAACCCTAACAAAGGGAAATGCGCCTTAATTGGTTGGTATAGTCCCAAGTTGAGAGTGCAGGTTATTCCAGGTAGCGCTTAGGGTGGTTTTCTAGATGTACCGGCAGCTTGACTCTTGGGGTTCTTGAGGGAGAGGGCTTCAAGGCGGGTGTGTAACCCAAGGTTCTCGAACACTCCCCACTACTGCCTAAGTCTCACGAAGCTTCTCTAAGGTTCCCTGGCTACCTACCCCCCCCCCCCCCTGAAGAACCTCATGATTTACAAAGGCTATGCCTGCTAAATTCAGGGACTTTCTGGGCCACACCTGAGACATTCAGGGCCCTTCTGGGGTACGCCTGGTAGACCAGGGGGCTTCATGGGGCATGCGTATACTAAACGAAGGTGTTTCTGCGTTACATGGGTTACTTCGACAGTGCAGTCCCCGTTGGGGGCCCACATTTCCCTTTTTGGGGGGAAGATTAGGTTCCCTCATAAACCCCCTTTTAAACCAAAGAGGGCACCCTTTTTTATTCCTAGGCTACTCTTGGGTCCTAGGACCTCACCATACAAGGAGGGGCCCTCCTAGTTATAAGCAGAGTTATAAGAACCCTAAATTGGGTTTTAAGGATCCTAAATTAGGTTGTAAATCCCTTAACTACAGTTAGTATGGTAGGGGCCCCTCCTTGTATGTACAGTACATGAAGGGGCAAAGCTGCCACACAACTGCAGGAGCAGAGGATGTGGCAAAAGCAAGCGCTGGAATACCCACAAGCCACCAGAACCCCCCCCCCCCCCCCCCAAACCCTAAACCCTAAACCCTAAACCCTAAACCCTAAACCCTATAATTATAAACCCCGAAACCAATTTTTGAATCCTGTAGAGTCAGGCTTCGACCAGCGGCTACCTCTACGCAGCGCCAGCTGCGGAGGCAGACATCTCGCAGGCTCCAAGGGTTCAGGGTGCATGGGGTTTGGGGTTTAGATGGGTTTAGGGGTTGGGGTTTAGGGTTTAGGGTTTTGGGTTTTGGGTTTTGGGTTTAAGGTTTTAGGGTTTAGGGTTTAGGGCTTAGGGGTGCAGGGTTTTAGGGGCTTAGCGTTTTGGGGTTCTAACGGGTTTTAGGGATGTAGGATTCCGGGTTTTGAGGCTGTTGGATTGTTTTGGGGGTTTAGAGGTTTTTAGCGGGCATTGCAAACAATCTAGTATTCAGGTGCAGTTGCCAGAGTTGTAGGAATGACTTGACGCAGCATGTAAAGTTCACACGTAGTTTGGTGTTTTAGAGGTTACATGGGTTTGCTGAGATCTGCTGCGTCTGGGACTTCAGGTTTCGGGCAGCTACGAACTCATAAAGGGGAAGCGTCCTCAGCTTCAAGTCCGACCCAAACTTTTCTGCGGATCTGTTTCACGCTGTAGCTTGGTAGCAATTGCTTACTAGCAATTATACCCTCCACGTTATCTGGGTATAGCCCTTGCAGCTGTAGGGTCGAGGGGTTTAGGGTTTGAATTCCCACACCCTATAAACCCTAAACCCTAAACCCTAAACTCCGGAAAGCCCTTAGCAAGTCGAGGTGAGGGCGTTTACAAGCCCGGCCTCCAATGCCAGCAGCCCGGATAGTGCGACCCCAGCGCCTTGCGAACCTCTCTCTGGAGTTTGGGGTTCTGGAGTTTGGGGTTTAGAGTTTGGGGCTCGGGGCTTGTGGATTTGAGTGAGGGTTTTGCCAGTTTTGAGGCGTCAGGGGTGCGGTTCAGGGCTTTTGTGCGGGTGTCTGCTATGACGTGGAAGTGCGTTGTCGTCTCGAATTTCTGCTGCGGTGGCAGACGGGGGGAGGGGGGGCTTGGGCCTGGTCACGGGGCTTTGTGAGTTTAGGTACCAGGATCTAAGGAGTAAAGGAGGCCCGGAAAGGGGTGGGGGGGGCTTCTGGGGGGTTTCTAAGTGGGACCTCCATGCAGGTGATTGTCATTGGATGCCCTACCCGCCCCCCTAAAAAGGAAGAGAGGGAGGCAGAGAGAGCGGCAGCGAGAGAAGAGCGAGAAAACGAAATAAGGAAATGAATGAATGAATGAGTGAATGAATGAGGGGAGGGGAAGGGAAGGGAAGGGAAGGGAAGGGAAGGGAAGGGAAGGGAAGGGAAGGGAAGAACAGAAAGACAAAATGAAGTAAACAAAGAAAAAAAAGAAGGAATGAGCCCCCCAGCCTGCAAGCAACCCGTTCCTAGGCAGTATCAACCTCAACCCTACACCCAAGCCTTCTATAGCTCAGGCCATGGCCAGTGGTCTCGAGGTCACGCAGGCAAACCTCCATATCTTCGCTTCTGGAGTGCTTTAGTTTGCGGTGTTTTTGGGCTTGGGTGCGGTGTTTGATCTTGGGGTACCTCAAACAAGGACCCTCAGAGTAGTTGCAGTTGGATTCTACAAAATTGCGTGGCATATCACCTCAATCAGAGCTGCCCATGAACCTCCAAGCAGCGCCAGACCCTCAACAACACTTTCCCGTGAATGTTCATGTCAGACAGCCGACGAGTTCCTAAACCCTAAACCCTAAACTCTTCAACCCCCTGCAATCTGCAGCAGGCTGCTACAAATCCGTTCGGAACCCCTGCAGTCGGCGACTCGTGTTGGGTGTAGGGTTTAATTTGGCTGCATGCAAGCATCCTTGACTTTCGGCATCCGCTGCGAGCCGCGGTTGAGGGTTGAGGGTTTAGGATGGGTTTAGGGTTTAGGGTTT